TGTGTTTGATTACTCCAAACAATTTTACCTGCTTCATGCTAACTACGCAGGAACGTTTTATGTGACCATAATTAGGAGATAACAAGGTGAAATATATTTGTGATACTCTAGGCTTCTGGGAAAGGAAGACACTTATATGAAAACAGACTGTTAATTCCGCCTGCGAATCAACGGTGACCAGCGGTAACTTTCCTTGTTTTCTGACTACTCATGAGTAACGTGACTCGCATCTGTTTATTATGACACCGTTTCGTTTCTTTGCTCGTTTTCCCCCTGTTTCGTCCCGGCTTAGGGTCTGCTTATGCCTCAGTAACTGATGTCAATACTTAATTTGCCCGTCCGTCATTGCTTGCAAGTTCGTCTGGATTGCACCTATTCACGAGCGTCCACTCCGACCGAAAAGCGCGCCGACCGGGTATCGAACCCAGAGTCTGCGGACAGCAGGCGAACGCGTCACCGACTACACCAACCGGACGTCCAACATGGCTGTTTATTTTGTATTACCTATGTATCGCACCTGGCAGATAGCCCTTGCTGAGCTTTGTTTTAAACGGACGAAACCGCGCAATCTGACCTGTCACGCGACACGAGCGGCTGCGTCGACGCCGACCGAAAGACAGTCCTTCACATCCCGAACGTACTGACTCCTGCGCCGTTACGGCCAACTCACACTGTCAGACTGCCCCGATATGTATGTTTGCACATCGTTTGGTACTTACTTCTTGTTGCCCCTATAGAAATCCGTGCTGTGACAGTGACTACTTCCCGCTCCTGCAGATTGCGTCATTGTTGATTGTACGTTTTCTTAATTCATGATGCTTACTAATCCGTTTTCCTGTAGAACCAGTTCCTGTCAGTCTTCAATATATCATCTACTGCCCCCTGTCTGTCTGCTCCTATTGACTACTGGCTACGAACTGCGTATAATCTAATAGTCGCAATCGTCCTGTGAGATCCTTAACCGTCCGGATCTTACACAGACTTTGATTAGAGCTCAAACAGTCGTACCGAATAGTGCGTCGTTAAGCCACTATGGTTAAACGCGGAAGGTTTTGGAATTCTTGAAAAAGCGGCTTTCCTTTTGTACGTGACACCGATTTAATGCCCAAAAACTAGGAAGCAAAATGCAGTCATTTCACCTGCAACGAAAACCCTCAAAATTGTCCGGCACATCAAATGCAGTGGAG